GTTGTTTTGTCACGTTATCAGCAGCATTTTCTCTTTCACAGTCAGAGTCTTGTCCTCATCTCAGCATTTCCTATCGCTAAATTTCTGGGAAGGTAATTTTAACTTTACTTTCCACAGATGTGCTCAAATACTCACTAGAAATACATCTTGCAAGGTCCAATTGTAGTTTCTACACAAACAGCCCCAGTAAAGTCAGCAGCAGTACTCGCAGAGGCAGATGCTGTTCAGTTGACTGCAGCTTGCATCCCTCAAAGCCAAGGGTGCAATTCCCTTTTGTAATGATGACTCCAGCTTCCTGAGGAGGTAGGGGATGAGAACTAACCTGTGCCCTGGGCTGCCTTCTGCCTGTCTCAGTGGCCCAGCAATGGCTGCTTAGGTCAGAAACCCCCTTGAACCAGGCAACCTTCATCTGCAGCTGGGGTAGGTCATCGCCCTGGTCCCACAGTTTTAGGGTGACCAGAGGGCCCTGGGACAGGCAGTCCAGCAGCTGGGACAGGCCACTGCTGGAGGGAGCAGATGCTTGAGCTGTGGGAAGGGGCTCCATACCAGTGCTGTGTGTAGGATACAGCATCTGACCAGGTCTGAGAGCATCTATTAACCTTATCTTGGCAAGGTCGAGTGTTACCATAAATAGGGCCTATTTGTGGAAGGCTTCAGGCAACATTTATTTGAGCTGCAAGGGAATAAATATGTAATTTTCCTCTTGTGAATAATGGATAATGACCTTCAGTGCTTTGCTGGAAGTGTTGTGCCAGTGACACTTGTGGGAGGAAGAGTTAGACATTTGCATGCCTAATCAGCAGTGTATTTAGTGTCTGCCTTGGGTTGGAATTGGAAAGCTTCTTTTGGAATTTAACCTTTTAAGTGCTGGGTTTTTTCTCCTAACGGCAGCCAAATTCATACCAACATAGCAAATAGGCTTTGTTCTGTTTCTTTTGCCTATTATTGTTGAGAGAAGGGTCTCTCCCATGCCTAGGGAAACACAGGAGAGGTGTTTGTTAACACTGCCTAGCACGTGCAAGCCTGGCAATGCTGTGCCATAACCATCAGAGCAGGCAGGTGTTCTTCAGGCTGCTGTTCGCTGTGTTTGCATGCACAGCTCAGTGACTATGCATTCAAACCTATTGATTCTAGCGCTGGGAGATTTTCCTCTGCCTTGAGCTATACAGACACCAGGATAATGAGCAGGGAAATTATTCAAAAACTTTCACGAAGAAAGATGCACTCCTGTGATTTAGAAATATACTGACAAGGGAGAAACTGCAATAGCTTAAATTCAAATCATAGCTGTAGTCACAAACGAAAACAGGATGTGAAGGAACATTTCTATGACAGGTGATCCAAAACAAGAAGATAGTGTTACTACTGAGAAAGATTTTGATCTGTCCCCTCCAGGAAATATTCTGCCAGTCTCATCCACACACAGAAAGGTCTAGGCAGCTGTCTGAAAAAGTGCAGCAAGGAGCAGCATTTCCAAAAGCTTGAGAGCATCCCAGTGAGGAAGTGCTCATTGGGTTGTGAGCTCACATCGAGTGAGGATCAGAGCACAGAACTGGATGAACTCAGCAGCTTTTTGTGTTTGTAGACTACAAAATTGTCTTTTTCTTTTTTTAATATGCATATATACACACATCCACATTCTTCTCTTAGCATCAGAGCTCACGTTTAAGCAGCAGCAGATGAAAAGCTGCTGTATGACTTCTCTACGTCCCTTCTAAATGTGGCCGGCTGCGTCACAGCAGGTGATGGCCATCACAGGAGTGCACACAAAGCCATCCGGACAGAAAGGCTTTTGACAACCTGGGCCCCAGTTTCACTCCTAGCTGTTGCTAGAAGTGTGTTCAAATTTCTTTTTAAGAGTAATCCAGCAAGCAGCTGAAAAACTGGTTGTGTGTGCAACATGATTTATGCAGGAGGGCAAACAGCCAAGTCTATCTTACTTTTCCTGAAGTGGGAAGGAGAAAAGCAGGTAAGTCAGGCTGAGTTAGTTGATACTCTGTTGATTTTTCACGCTGCTGTGTTTGTGGTGCACCGCTGCTGTCTGCGTCTCCCTCAGGAAGCCAAGCACACGCCTGAACAGCACTGGTCTGTGAATTACCACAGCTCACAATTTGTCCGTCGATCTCGCTGTTGACCTTGCTCAAAGCTAGTAGATAGGAGAGAGCACCAAAGAGGTGAATACCTTCCTCCTCTCCCTCAATCTTCAGTTGCTAATTCGCGTTCCTCATCTGTTGTGGCTGAGCTGTGCCCAGGGTCCTTGAAGCTCAGGGTGCCCCAGCGCTGGGTACCCCAGGCTGCTGGGTGTCTGCAGAGCCAGGGCCACATTGCTGTCTGAGACGGGGTGCAGGTCAAAGAGACATGGCCAGCCTCTTAGAGACAGGGAAGAAATACATGTGAGATGATACACAGTACAAACTTGAATGAGATCAACAGTGAGGTCAAAGGGGAAGCAGTGATGAGGATTACTCTTGAGTTCAAGAGGGTGCAGGCAGGCTTGAGGGAAACATGAGGATTTGCTAGCTGAGAAAACACTGGATTGGCAGAAGCTGGTTGCTATCAAGTAAGACAGTGGTGAGATGTGTGGTGGGCAGAAGCAAGATGGAGGCTACTGGACTGTGGATAAAATACTTGGCTGGGGCATGGTGGCGGTGGAAGAGGGGCCCTGGTGTGCAGCTGGCCCAGCTGGAGGAAGTGCCAGAAGTGGTTTCTTGCTCAAGGTGATACCAAGGAGACGGATCAACAAGAGGGCTTGGCAAAACTTTTGGCTCCTTAAGCCACAAATGGTCTGGACTCACTGCTGCTGGTCTTGGGTTTGGTGTCCTTCAGCTGGCCTCAGGAATCTGCTTTGCTGTGTGCAAAGCCTTTGGCAGGGAAACCCTCCTCTTCCAAGGGCAGAGGGGGATACGGCAGGAGATTCTGGCAAAGCCAGAGAAAGTTTCTATCTACGCTGTTCAGGTTTAAGCTTTGGACTGGGCTCAGAGCATTCAAACCCACAGTGCCTGGAGTAAAACACAGAGGCAACCTGTAATATTAACAGGCTACTCAGAGCATAGAGGAAGATGTTTTTTCTTCTACTGCCGTAATAGTTAAATCTAAATAATGAGAAGGGGGGTTGGTTACGGGGAAGTGAAGTGTGCTCTGTGGGAGAGCAGGGGCCATGGCAGCTGGCAGCTTGCTGGAGCTCAATTAGCATTAGCAGCCTGGCGTTTTATGGAGCAGGGCAATGGAGGGTGGAGGTGGGGCCAGAAAACAGGATCCTTCTGCTGCCAAGAAACAGACACTAGTAAGAAACAAGGAGAAATGTGGCAGTATCCATTGTGCCCTAGCCAAAGATTTCAGCGGCAACGGGACCGGCAGCTGCCGTGGCTGGAGGCCACGTGTCACCAAGGAAGGTTTTACCGCGGTGGTGTGGAGAAGATGCCAGGAGGAAGAAGTGGAGTCTGTAGAGAGAAGCTGAGAAAGGAATCAGGATGCAGGAGTGGTTGTGAACCTTTGAAGGTACAACCCATTTTCTGACACTGAAGAACCGAAATACATGGTCAGGGAAGGGACACTTCATTCTCCTCTGGCTGGACTAGGAGTGATGACCTCTTTAAAGCCACCAGTTTTAGGGAACTTATTCTTAGGAGTGTGTTTGGCCTCCTACTCTCCCTTAAGGCTCCCTACCTTCTAGTAATCAGAAAGCATTTAGACCAAGAAAAAGTCTTCAGGAGACTCGAGAAAAGCCCAGAAAAGTCCACTGCTTGTTTAGTTCACCCAAGCCACAAAATCATCCACTTAGCCGGAGATAGCACTCTCTTACTGCAGTATGGGTGAAACCATGGGACTTGCTGACAAGACAGGGTGAAGGACCTTACTGGCAAGTTCTTGGCTGCAAAAGAGCAATCCGGTTGTGAGCATGTTTGCTGGCAATAAGAGAGGTATTTGGTGTATAAGATGTAGGATAAGTGTAGGATAAGATGTTTTCCTACACTCAAAACAAGTTCACTTCACAGACTTGCAGCACGTTCTCGCTGGATTTACCATGAGTTTGTGATGTGAGTTTTACCACTGTAAGACTAGACAGGTGCATGATAAAACTGGAAATACTTATCAGATCCCATGGTAAAGCACAGTCAGACAACACTGCTGTTGCCAAAACAAGCTGCAATACAGCAGAGCTGTTGCTAGGGTCTCCTCGTTTTCAAGGAACTTGCCCTGCCATGAGCTGCATAAAGTCGTTGGCTGCAGCTGATGAGATTCAGTGGTGACAGGAAATATAAGCAGGGATGGATGCTGATGCACCCCACAACCAATGCACCACGATCCTTTCCTCCCTTGCCGTTTTCTGGTGCTCTATGTGAATAGCTACATTGTTTCACCAATCTGAAGAATGGGGCATGGGATCCTGTACACAGCTGAGACAAGAAGTGAATTAGGTCAAAAACCCCACGAAACAGCACCCAGAATATAAAAAGAAAATGCACTGCAGTATCAGGCTCCTTGGTGTGTGCTGAAGTGATTGTGTCTGTTTCTCTGCTGACCTTAAAAATGGGGTAGAACAGCACTAGTGAAGTCAAAAATTTCTAACATCCTTACAGAGAAGGCACATCCAAGTGCCTGTAGAAGTGCTAATACGCTAGGCTGACACTCTTTAAGTAGTTTTAAAAGAAGTCTGAAGTTAGGCTTCCAACCGCATGTATAGTGGCCTGAATTTTCCAAATGGGTTGGGGAAAAAAAAAGCAATCAATATACGTTAATCCTCTTAGTGTCTGAAGTTCAGAGTAGCCAAGGCATTCTTTCCTGTGAGAAACCCCTACTGAAATAACTTGTGTTTGAAATTCCTCTCTCTTCTTTTGTTTCTTCCACCCTCTACACCTTTCATCACAGGCAGGCTACTTCTTATGCCTTTGTTTCTTTGTGTTGTCTCCATCCCACCCCCTGCCTAGTTGACAGCAAGAGGAAAATATATCATACACAGGATGAAGATTTCTAAACCACATGTGCTTTACTTCAGGAAACAGGCAAAACGGGAAAAGTTTTATTTGCACGTAGCAGTCACATACAGTCACACTTGCAGCAGGATTGATGTGAAATATGAATAACGGTGAGCACGTCAGTTCACTGACAGAGGAATGCATACCGCTATGGTAGCCTGAGTTCCAGTACTAAGCAGATGCTTTAGCCACCTTCCTAGCTTCCATTTCCTGCTTAGCCTTTTCTCTCATCTCTCTCTCTCGCTCAATGAGAAGTGCTTGTTCTTGTTCCCACTCCTTTAGCTTCTGCTCATGTTTTGCAATGTCTTCCACTTCACATGCTGGCAGGCTTTCCTGGACAAGTTGGGTGGTCAGGGTTAACAGGCTTTCAGATTCAACCTTGCCAAGTGAATGCAGCTTAGAGTACAGCTCCTGTCATAAAAAGGGATTTGGTAGGGAGTGAGAAGGAGAGAGCCAGTCAGTCACAAAATAATCAGCCACAAAATACTTCCCTGTAACAACCAACACATCACTGTTCGAATCTAACTATTAGCTGGGCTATACAGGCCAAGTAACTACTTTACCTCAGAGAAGTGATTCGACTGTGGTAGATGGTACCATTTCTTGAAATGCTAACCCCTAGAATAATTTTTTTGAGAAATAAAACTACACTGATGACATTTCTTTTCAATTAACCCTTGAAATTATCTTTATTTTTCCAAGTTCAGTTATCTGGTATTAACAAAGATCAGCTGACCAGTCAACTACAATAAATATAATGTAAACATCTTGGGTTTGTGTCTTACCCCAAAACTGATTGAATAATTTGCTCCACATTGCCTGCATTAGCGTTCTTCTCAACAGATGCATATCACTTCAAATGCTCTCTTGCTAATGGCATACTAAGTAACTCCCATGATTCTTCTTCCCACCAGTTACTTCGACCTGAGGCTTGGCTATGCTTACATGGACTGTACAATAGCGCTAAAGCAAGGGATATTTTTTCAGGGATATTCTACACTGAAACTAAGAGCAGAGCTTCAGTAAGAGACTGTGCAGTATTTCTTTCTTGAGTTTTCTTATCCAGGCTTCATGCAGCATAAAAACGCTACTTCACTTAAATGATGAATCATCTAGTGATACTATTTCTGGCTTTCTGGAGTCCTTAGCCTGATGGCTGACTAACAGTCTGACTAATTGCCTTAAAAGTGCAGATATACAACCAAAGAGGAGCTTCCGGGGGAGAAAGATGACATGGCACTGGGCAGATTTTTTACTCCTTGCTCACTCATTAGATAGCAACACATTATCCTGATTGTTCTTTTAAATAAAATGTTTTACTTAGCCCAGCACTTGCAGAAACACTTAAAGTAAATACGTGTCCTAAAAGAAGGTACATCCATGCTTCTTTCCCTGGCATTTTGAATTAAGCCTATTGTTTTGCATTGCAGGATGATGGAAGGAAGATCTGGGGATCATTTACCTCCAAACAACATGAGAATTCTGGGGCCATGCAGATATAGGGACTTCCAGTTATCACTGAAGCTTATGCACTATGCTGCTGCCCCACAGTGTTCCTTTCACCCCAGCCCACGCTGGCAATGATCTGCGAAGGCACTGCCCCTCAGCTCCTGTCTTGAGCCTTGTTCTTATGCAGGAAACTATGATGTCCCCTCTATGAGGCCTCTCCACTTCTCTCCACCTTAGCCAACACAACTGCAGGTTTTGTTGTGTTTTGCCAGACCCTTGAAGGTTTAAACTGGACAGACAGCAGATTAAAGACTCTTTAAAATGCTAGGCACGCAGGTCTGAGGGGCCTGGGTATTTGGCTCTGTCTGTTTTTTCATTTTATGATAAAGAATTAAAACAAAATCAATGGCTTTGAAGCTAATGGACTAAAACCGAACTCGGTAATATTTAGGTGTATTTTGTTTGAGATGTCAGTAAGTATACAATGCATCAGTTAGAAACATAAAGACATCGTGCAGCTTGGGTCTGGGGAAGTAACCTGACAACTATACTCATGGTTACAGATTAGATATTCAGTTTAAACAGAACTGGTTTAGATCTTTCAGACTCTCCCTGCTCTCAAGGATGTGCCAAGAAGGGGGTTTATGCACTGAACCTAAGCAGTATGAAACTGAACTAGAGAAAGGCAACAAACTAGAAACTAGCAGGACTTCTCTCCTAAGCCGTTACTGGTACCACTGAACTCTTGGAATCTTTCCTGCTTTGCTGCGATACATTAGCGAAACTAATTTAAGAAAGCAGCAGGCTCTATGTCCTGCAGGTACCAAAAGGGCACATTCTTAAGTGGGTAGATAATTGATTTTTATACGCGGTCTCCAGGGCTCTGCATGCAGACAGAGAAGGAGCACTGCTTTTAGAGAGGGTGCTCCCAGCATTTATGTGATGAAATGCTTGCCCATTGATCATTGACACAGATGGAACGAATTGCCTGAGGAACACTGTACTGAGTAGTGAGCCTCAGCATACAGGATCTGAAAACAGGTAATTACAACATGAATGACAGTGTCAGATAATCTAAACTACAACTCTAAAGGCTTTATCTGGAAAGAGCCAAATGCCTTCAAGTCCTGTTTGTTTTAGTGGAAGCGAAGGACACACTGCCCCTCACACATCTTACCTGTTAGGCTGCTGTGGCTCTTCCAGGTACTTCCACAAATGTTCTGAAGGTGGGTGTGAGACCTAAGAGTCCAAGCATGTGTATAAAAGCCATGCAGAACAAGCTACAGTTCTACACAGGAACTGTATGCCTGAAGCAAATCCACATGCTTTTCTTTGAATACCCAGGTGTACAACTTGTCAAAGAGAACTGGGCAAGCAGGAGTCAGAGCCAATTGGTTTTGGGATCAAGAAGAAAGACTGGGATGTGCTGGCTAATGCAGGTCTGGACAAAGTGCAACCAAAGCGTTTTCAGCAGCCAAAGCACAAATCCTGTGTTAGGGTTACATCACACGAGGGGCAGATGACTTGTGCTGGGACAGCAGTTGTGAATGCCAACATCATCAGGTTGCTTCAGAGCTGCCACCTTCCCTCAGACTTCTGTGTATTTCTAGAGGACTCCTCTGCCCTTGTGAACTACATACGTAGGTGTCCAGGGGTTCACCTGGGAAGACTGGCTAGTGCTGGCCTAATGGATTTGAGAGAAGAGTGTGAGAGCTCTTTCAGGCTTAGCTGAAATGGCATTCTGATCTGAGAGCTCCTTTTCTCATCCAGACAAGCAGAAATTGTGGCTTATTTACATATAAATTACTGTTAGATGCCTAGACTTCACATGAGGGCTATGTCTTTCTTATATTCAGACTCTTCTGGTGAGGCACCGTAGTTGGTTGGCTCAAAGTCAGGGCACTCACTGCCACACCAGGGAATGCCTGAACTGAGGTTAATTACGGAACTTGTAGAAAGGTTGAGGTGAGAAGAGAACTACCCTCTTGGCACAATTTGACATTTAGGCCTTGTTTTGAACACTCTGCATTATTTTCTTCAAGGCTAGACAATGGACAGACAAGGAGAGAGACTCATAAGAATGTCTCACTCCCTCCTTCAAAGGGCACTTGTGTTTACCTAATTCACTGCAATTCATCCAGGCATTAATTATCCCATGCTGAGCACCCACTGATTCCCAAACACTGTAATTAAAAAGTTCTAAGTGCCTACAAAGCAAGTTTAATATCTAAAGATTAGTGGCAAATAATTTATGTAAATAAAAATTAAAGAAAGGAAAAGTGTGTGTATGTGAGGTGAAACCATAGGATACTAATCTTTTATCTTTGAAATTCCTTTCTAAGAACAACGATCTGTATCCAGAACAACAGTCCAAGGTCATGACAGCAACAATGGAAACTGATGGGCTATGGAAAAGTACTGCTCCTGGAACTGTAAGCCACATTAATTTCAACCTGGGGTATTTGATTTATACCACAGCACAAATCAGAGATGATAAAATAAAATAAGCTCGTTATACAGCTATGAGATGATCAAATAAAACACACTCATTATACAGCTGTGCCCTAATGAACAACTGTTTGTGTTTCATATTGTTATAATCAGTGTGACAACGTAAAGATAAAAGGAAGGCAATATAGCCTTACTTAATTCCTCAGACTGAAAGTATAGGATGCAGCATTCCTACTTAATCATAAGATACACAAATGGACAATAAATTCAGGATGGTCTCATGCCTATTACAATTTATTTTAATGAGCAAGAGCCCACACAAGGTCAGATAATGGATCTTTAACAACATACCACTTTCGCAAACAGGATTGGATTTATCATTTTGATGTACGAAAAGTGAAGATAAAATCCTAGCAGACAGATAAAAGACAAGTGGCCTTGAGCATTTATGTCTTGGTAGGCTGCTGCTTCCTGTTCGAAGAAGTAAAATGTAACGTGACATCAGTTTCAAAAATGCCAGGTAGGACTCCTGATGCATTGAAGGGGTGTCAGTGTACTAGCCATAATAAGCCAGCATACATATTTTCTAGTACGTATTATGGAGATTTACTACCTCTTAGAATATTTAGATAAATGAAACTCCCTTACCTTGAATCGGCTGTAGTATTCAGGTACTTTAGACTGCTCTGTTTCTTCTGATTCCACACACTGTGACTTTTGCTCTAATTCTTTGACTTCTTCAGCTGACTCTGGACCAGGTTTTGCTTCAAGGACAGACTGCAAAACGGTCTCCAGAGCACCAATCTGAACAATCACATTTGTCATTGTTAGCATAAACAGTTTGGAAACACAACCTGAATAACACTGTCACATTTACGAACAACTTAGTTACCATGTATTTTGAGATGAATTTTGTGTATGATAGATAAAAAGAAAATCAAATTCTAAAAGGAAATGGGGTTTATTCTTGGAACAATTTTGTACTGTATTTGGGACCTTTGAGGTTGGACACTAAATCCCTACAACAGAACAACTCCACTACCCTCTGTCAACAGCAAAATTCCCCGTGACTCAGAAGCTGACTGGTATTTGCAGATCTGTCAGGCATTAGGCTAATGTCTTTTCTTGGCCTGATACCTGGCCATAAATACTAACACTAAACGGTAGTCACACTGATAACAGCACTAGCATGATACACAACCATAGATACACCTGAGTAAGACATTACTACGTAATGTTTGCACAATAGAGTCTCTAACAGATCATCTCAATACCATTTTGATAAAAAGAAGCAGGGAAATCAGCTGTTCAGCAATAAGAACATTCATTCCTATCATTAGTTTGACAATTTAACAGGAAAAAAGGAAATGAAGGTATATATTGGCGTATTTTTAATCTGTGGCCCTTCTGTCCTCTTCACACTTTTGTCTTTCGAGGTAGTAAGAGAACCATCCTCTCCTAATCTAATTGCGGTTGTATCAAAAGAATGTATTAACTTCACTGAGGGACTTGGTAAATTATTTCTGTATGTATTCTTGATACAAAAGATGGAACTGCTATATGGATGCTGCTGCTGTTTTGGTAGTAGTATGATCTCCATAACTGGAATTATTGGATGCAGTTTGCCTGCATTTTAAAGTTCAGCTACTACAAATGCAAGGAGCTGTTATCCTTCCATGAATCCTAATTCTGAATGTCTATCAGTAGGATGAAATAACTCCATGTAACCTTTGAATCTGTGATGCTTTCTCCAAGCAAAAGGGATCTTGATACTTATGGTTTCATTTTCCTAGCACAAGTACATAATGCTAAAGGAATAAAAAATAGATTTAGTTGAAATAACATTATTAACACAGAAATGTAATTTTTAAACTAGCAGTACTGAAACAGGATAAAATAAGCAACAAAATACTATGTGCTTGGAAATCCATACAGTCATTTAGAGACTTTCTCAGACAACTGAAAAAAAACAAAACTTTTCTTGCTTGTTCACAATAGAGCACAATACTAAACCAGTATTTTTATTAAGTTTTTAAGATAGTAATGGCAGAGAGAAAAGAGACACCCTCCTAGTCAGAAATGAATGGAAGCTTAAAGCCTGAAAGAAAAGTGACTGATAACGACTGGTCAAATCACTTGAAAATGTTTACACCAAAACTGCACAGCTAAAAAAGTTCATTTGAAAACTTCCCTTTTAGATAATGGAATTTATTCAGCCAGAAAATATTACATTTTAGAGAAGAACCAAGTTCGCAAAACCAGAGCTGAGTCTTTCTCAAGTAACTCTGTGACTGTACAGGCACGCAAGGACAATGATTTATAACACAGCCCATACGTCTCAGTGCTACGATATGGATTTACAGAAACTGGATAATGGTCAACCTAGTCCTGCCCAAGAAAGACTCAGGATACTAGAGGAAAAAAGAGTCTATGGCACTTGAGGTTTCCATCATATCTGCTGCTGAATTCAGTGGAAGATGACTGACCCCAATATTGACCTGGTCAGTGCTCTTAGTCCTTCACCCTTAGGAATACTGCATTTTAGTTGGAAACACTAATTAGAAATATCCTGTATAGGTTTTAAGAGTAAAATCTTAATGACCATTTAGGTATAAAAGGCCAGATGATGCAAATCAATAAACTGTAATTACTTTACACTGGATAAGGATATAGACCAACATATTTTCCTTGTTTTCCTTTCTGCGTTAGGGTCACAAAAATGCATTAGAGAAAAACTATTTTGATAATAACAAATCATCCAGGCCTGCTCTTGGTCCTCAGCTTTGTGAAACTTATATAAACAATAAATAGTGCAAGTCAAATACTGCCACCTAAAATTCAAATGAGGCCAAGTATCTCTTCAGGGAATTTTCTGTGTGGCTCTCAATGGTCATTGCTTTTTGGGGTCTACTACTGGATTTGTACAGAGACATTTGCAGCATCAGTGAGTAATCAGTAACAACCTTTATCTTGTAAGTTCTTAGTTGTTCACTGAACAAAGTAAAAAGTGTCTCTGCACAGAAAGCACTGCTAGATATTAGAGTTTACTATTTTTACAGTATCGGTACACAGAAGGATAGGATCTGCTACGGACCTGTTGTACCACAGATAGGTGCAACCTTGTTTCAACACTAGGGTGTTCATTTAAAAGGGCAACAAGAAAAACGTCTATAGATATG